GGTCTTTTAAAAGACCCCCGCCGGTGTCAGCTGGCGTGGGTATTGGCAGTCGCCGCGGTTTGCACAGCAGTCAGCGGAAAGGTTTTTATCAGACAGTTGACAGTGCCTGGTGATGAACGTGGGCTCGCTGGCTTCCCACACGACGGGCTCTTCACAGGATGCAACAGTCTCAGGGGAATTGCCCCACGGCTTTCAAGATAAATACTCTAACCAAAACACACGCGAGACAGGTCTCTTCCGCTTCCAGCTAAGAACTAGTTCTGGTCTTACCTTTCTGACATCTGACATTCTCCTTTCTTTCATTAGTTCAGGATTTGCTAAATTAGGTATGTTTCTAGAGAAAATAATTACATTTTCATTGCGTTGGAAGGTCGCTTAACGTTTTGCGTGCTAGGATGTGTACTCTCCGCACACTTGGCTGACGCGTTGGTAGCAGGCACTGGCAGAAGGTCTTATGGGACACCAGAAGGGATGTCCTACTTATCCCAGGTGGGATTAAGTCACTAGGATCAAGAAGCCAAGAACGCCATGAGAGAAAAACGAAATTGGTTGGAGAAAGACACACCTTGTGAAAGATGAAACAATAAAATACCAAGACCTCAGACACTCTATTTCCAATAACTTTCTGACGCTTTTTTTTGTACTGTGACCTCTGTGGCAGAGAAAACTCAGGACTCATTGGAGTGGGATATAAAGTTTATTTTCTGTCAGAGCAGCTGGGCATGACTGGGGCCTTGTCTCTGCATGCCTGGCTCTCGTCCTTTCTTGGAGAACATTTGTCGCACCCGAGAGCCCAAGCCCAGCTGGCTGGTGCTGCTGCCCTCTCGCCCGCTGGCCATGCATGACGGGGAGATAGTTTGAGGACCCAACTCAGCCAAGAGCGATTCCCCACTGGTTTAGCATCCCGGCTCACTCCGTTGGAGAGGAGATGAGCAGAGGGACCGGGGACGGGTCCATAGCTGCCACAGCTTGGCTTAAACTGCCATGGGAACACAAGCTGGGGAAAGCAGGTCTCAGCCTGAGCAGACGTGGACCAGAGCAGATGTCAACCATTTATTTACCTCGTTCAGGTCTTCTCAATGCCTTCCAACCTATTTAATGCCATATCTGCTGCTCATACAAGATACACTAGATGGATTTCTCTGTAAATGTATGACGTATGTGATGGCGTGTCCAATGTATTTATCTCTGGGTTATCAACCACTTGGCGCATAAGTGTAAAGCACACCTTAAAAGCATTTAAACCTGGGTTAATGCATATATTATGTTAATGGCTACAACAGAAACAGGAAAATCACTATTAATTCAAAGAACTGAATGTAGCATGTCTCCTTTAATAAAGCACACACTAAGAAAAAACTTGTTCATGCAAGTGTGGTTTTGCCATTGCTGAAGGGGACAGCTCACCTCCTGTCCCTGATGATGTTCTCATCCTTTTGCTTGCGTTGGTTAGAGCTCGTGTGGGGCGGTGTCAGATCAGTCAGATTGGTACTGATCTGGCTGACAAGGTCTTTTTTTCTCTTTCTGATTTAGTGAGCTGATTTGACTCAGCACATGGCCTCATAATTGCTAAGATCTTGTAAGGGAGACAGTAGGAGCAAACAGCTGGGGCGACAGGAAAGGTCTGCCGTCTTTGGTGGGTGCAAATTCAGCTTTCACGCTTTGCCAGCTGTCTGACAGCAAGGCAGAGCCAATAATGGGGCTGTGCCCACATGGTAGTCCTTAGTTCTGTAAGTCTTGTAAACAAACAAACAGGAACACTGCAAATCATGGAAAATGTTCTTGTTCACAGATCACACCATCCAGTCGGTGTTCTGCTGCTGCTGCTGCTACACGGTGCAAAAAAGGTACGTGAAATGCTTCAGCTTCTCGGCAGTTAGGACGATCAAAAATATCTGCACGTAAAGGACTTCTTAAAATCCCTCTATTTTTGGTGGAACTGCTGATTATGCAGAAGTCTAAAGACACTCTACCCTGCACGCCCCTAATGAAGGAAGGCATATATATCTGTGAATGTTTTTATGGGAATATTTGCAGTTATGTATTCACACAAATACTTCATGTTTTTCAAAATCAGAGCAATGAGAACAAAAATGAACCTGGACTCTGACACTGGCCTGGTGACCCAGTACTCGGCCTCACAGCCAGACGTTTCCTATGCATCTACATGGAAGTGCAGGGTAAGTAATGTTTCAGCAGGTGAGAAGAGAGAATTGAGGTGGTGTCCCGTATGGTGGCTCAGCACCAGACCAAGCAGAGGACTAACTCACTCTGGAGCATGTAGTGTCCTTTGTGGCATAAAAATTAGAGTAAAGGTATCTGAAGATTCATACTGAGGTAAACAGAGGGCCACAGTGAGGTTTCCCAAGCTCTCTGTCATGGACGAGGTGATTCCTTCTCCCACTTTTGGGTCTGGGTGATGGAGGTGGGAAGAGCAGGACGGCGTTGTTGGGTAGATGTAAGCTCACCCTGCTCAGCTGGCACAAGAAACTTCCACCTCAGTTTTACTAGATCTAAGCTGAATTAATCTGAGCTTTCAAAGCGTTTAAGTGCGAAGCTAGAACCTAACCTGATGCAAAAGAAAAGGACTATGCTCCTGCCAATTTGAGCAGGAACTCTGTGGTGCCCTCCCTGTTAGCTCTCCAGATAAATGACCAAATCTCCAGACCTTGTAACTCCACTGACTTCAACGCTGCTCTGCTTTTACACCAGCTGAGGAGCTGTCCCAGCATTTGTACCATGTAGAAGTCACCCCAATTAGGTAGATGGCTTGTTTATTATTCACTGTACTTTCCACTGTCATGCTCCTACAACAAACTACTCAAACATACGTCTCACTGTTTTACAAGTGATGAGGTGACAGTGCCTTACAAGGGGAAGTAATGACCACGATGAGTTCTTTCTAGTTACTGAGATGGTATAATAGCAGGGGAATTAAGCAAGAAATAGTAGGGAGAAAAGACTAATTATAAAAGATACTTTTTTTTCACTAGCGTAAGAGGCAATTGCGGTCAAAGAACAAGCCGTTACCTCCTCTACCTGCCGAGGCCTTGGAAGACTACACCAAAAAACCTAAAGTTATTGCACTCTATGACTATTTTGCTAGAGGACCCTCGGATTTACCGCTCAGGAAGTCAGAAGAATACATTATCCTCGAACAGTATGATCCCCACTGGTGGAAGGCAAGAGACCAACAAGGGTAAGAGAGTGGGCATCTCCTTCAGTCTCGTGTTCACGTACTTCAGACCATGTGAATCCCTAGGCTCCGAGCCATGTGCAAACCCAGCTTGCCACACTTCCAGTGCTTTACAATGTAGTGTGTGTGTGTAAACACTTCATAAAGACCACAGAGATTATTAAGACATGTGCCTGAAACAAAATCCCTGATCCCAAATCCCTAGAGGTTTTAGAGAGCTAAATAACTTCAGATAGGGTTCTTTCCACGTTTATGTTTGCGTCGAGTCGTTCCCCCTTCTCCTTTGCATTTTCTTCAGTGTATCTTGTACTCTGATGTTGGGAATGTTTTATACAGTAACTGTCTCCTTTTCATTCAGATTTCTCCTTTAAATACTTAAAAATATTTTTCTCAACTCATATTTGCAGCAAGAGTACACTGATTATTCTCTATATACATGCAAGCACACACTTCATACTTCTTCATACAAAAGCTTTGTGTAGGCTAGAAATGAAAATGGTGGCTTCTGGTTCAGAAGAGATATATATATTTTTTTCTGCATTTTCTTTTGATTTGACTTGAAAATGTTTATCGACATGCGGCTCTCACGCTCTATAAATACCTATCCCAGGTATACTTTTTCATTTCAGTAGCCGTTTACAGTTGTGGGGCAGAAAAATTGTGCCTGGGATGAATGAACTCAGGCTGCTATTCAGTTCCCACATTGGGATTTGATGTCTAACGACATAGCCCATAGGGCAAGGAACCTTTGTAATTCAACGAAAGGCAGATGTGTATCTTAACCCTGTTAGTATTTTACACTGTACAATAACATTATCCCCAATGTGTTGTTTCAGGAATGAAGGTTTAATTCCCAGCAACTACGTTACTGAGAACAAGAAAAGTAACTTAGAAACATATGAGTAAGTACCCTTGAAAATGATAATTGTGCTTTCTTTTCTGAAAATGGATTGCAGCGATACATTTTAGTGCTCGATCCCTCAGTCTTTATTAGACACGAACAGGTGTCTATTGAAAGCTCTCTTTTCTTGTTACAAAACGCTACTCTTAGAATGAATCAACCACTTTGATTTGGAACTATCTGCTCAGAGTGTAACATCAAGTTACAAACACTGAGCACTCCAACAACCTTGATTTGCATGAATCACCATGTCAGAACCCAGGTGTTTCCCAGTTTTGCAGGCTCACTACGTCGTGTTTCTCTGTTCTGATCTCTTCCTGATGTGAACATATAATTAATTGACTAGAAGCTAATTCCAGTTGCTTCAACCTAATTTACTGGAGAAAAGAGAAACATTCTGTGAAATTCTAGAGCAGAGAGGCCAGATGCAGTAAGCAGGACTGTAAACTTCATCACAGTTTGGCATAAATCTTTCCTGGGTGTTCTTTTGTTTGAGTTCATATTTAATCACAGTGAATGGGTGTGTCCAGTTCTGGGCTCCCCAGTTCAAGAAAGATGAGGAGCTACTGGAGAGAGTCCAGCAGAGGGCTACAAGGATGATGAGGGGACTGGAACATCTCTCCTACGAGGAGAGGCTGAGGGAGCTGGGCTTGTTCAGCCTG